CGTTTTAATAGGGCACGCCAAGAGAATGTACACTAAAAAGAAATTTTTCGAAAAATTTCCCCCCACACGGGGAAGTGTTATACATTTATAATAGATACATTTTGAGCCACAACAACGCGTGGCGGGGGTCTGCTAGTTATGTAATAAGTACGATTTTAATGCACAATATATATATATTAAAATATTGCACATTAAAATTGCGTAAAATTGCACAATATATATATATATTGTGCATTAAAATCGTACTTATTACATAATTATATTCTTTAAAATATAAATATTCATATTAAGACCTATACAAAAGTCTGTATTAATTATTTAAATCAACAAATTTCTCATACCTCTGCTTCATTTAATCGCTCTTCTTGTTGATTGATTCGCAGAGAAACCAGAAAGTTGTGTAATAAGAATTATAAAGGAAATCAATGAAATCGAATATTGAAATTTCGATTTTAAAGTTTCGTCTCACTGATTTTATTTTAAATCTTAACAAAATGTAACACAGTATTTGTATTGTTTACTTTTCAAATACGTATTGAAAATTTAATTTTCATAATTTTTTCTTAATGACAATAAAGAAATTCGAAATTATGCCATTAAACATACTTATTGGATGATAGTAAGACATATCTATACTAATATTATAAAGAGGTAATGTTTGTATGTATGTATGTATGTATGTAAGTTTGTTTGCAGCAGGTAATCTCCGAAACTACTCATCCGATTTCAAAAATTCTTTCACCAATATTTAGAATGGAACCTCGGTGGACATAGGCTGTATATTATTTCGTTAAACATTCATATAAATTAAATGATATCATCTATAGTTAAGGCTTTTTTTGTCCAACAGATGGCGCTACGAGTACGACGCCCTAAGTTTGCTTTTCTGCGAGGCATTATGCTTTTCTGTGAAAATGAACTAAAGGGGATCTTCTTCTATCTGTCTATATAAATAAAAATGTAATGTTCGTTTGTTCCTACCGGTTCCTTTGAAATTTTGATACAACGCTGCATTCGAATACGCACGTGTTTTTATATACTGTAATATACGTGTCGAAATTCTCCTCACTGAAGGGAGATGGTTAGGATTAAGGCTTATGGTAAAGAACTCTGCTTCTATTTATACTATTTTAGATGCGGTTTTTTGCGTTTTTGATTGCGTTTTAATAGGGTACGTCAACAGAATGTACACTACAAAAGGATTTTTCGATATTTCCCCGCGGGGGAGAGGGACAGGATTAAGGCTTGCGGTAAAGAACTCTGCTTCTATTTATACTATTTTAGATGCGGGTTTTTGCGTTTTTGATTGCGTTTTAATAGGGTACGTCAAGAGAATGTACACTAAGAAGAAATTTTTCGAAAAATCCCCCCCCCACACGGGGAAGTGTTATACATTTATAATAGATACATTTTGAGCCACAACAACGCGTGGCGGGGTCTGCTAGTATTTCATATTTTAACTTAGTATTTCTTGCGGATAATCTGCGGATTATCTGTTATAACGTTAATTTGAACATATGTGTATTATGCAATGGGACGATTATCCGAAATTAAATAAAGCATGTATGCATCTGGCTTCCGAAAAACTTTTCTGCACCTGATATCATATCACCATATAAAGAAATATATGTCAAATGGATTCAAAGTATTAGTAAAATGATTGAAAACGATATTTTTACTAATACATTTCATTCTGAATTTTATTTAATCCAAGTACGTCGACGAAACGGGTCGATTTAATATACATAAACGATAAGTTTACCTTGAAATATCGCTGTCTTTATTAAGTTACACAAGTGGTTAACCACTCGACCGTTTGTTACAGTTATGATGTTTTTATTTCAATTCAACAAACTTTATTAACACGGAATCCGTTACGAAATATGTTAGTTTTTTTTGGACATTAACAAAATTCTTTGTGAATGATCCGTGAGGATTCGTTTCTTGATCTCCATGAGCGGTCATCTGACCGTCAAAACTTTATTATTGTCAGATTTATGAAAAATTCGTTAGTTTATAATATTAAACACTGTATAATAAATAAATCAGCAATGAGTTACTCAACGTTCCCTTCAACATTTAAAATTTTGGTTGCGCCATCTGTTATCATATTTTATTAAAAAATATTTTATATTTTTAACTATTATAAAACGGCAAATAGCTTAATTTTGAGGGTAGGGTGGGTTGAATAAGAATTGTAAATGTTAATACAAATAAAATAGTCATTAAGTCAGATATCCTATTTGAGATATGATACGTCCTTCTTTTTTCTCCTCACTCCGTTGACCTTTAACTACAAAATTTAATAGCATCAATAACCTTAATACACAAACCTCCTTACAAATTCAGGAATTTTTGAGAAAGAGCATGGGAGTTATTAAGCTTCAAAGAGGGTAAACAAAATCGTGCCCCAATACATACATACACACTCATACACGTTAAGTTAATCCTTTGAGGCTGCCTGACCTTAAGGAACTTCAGAATTTCCTATCGACCACACACGAAGAAGAAAATCTCTCAGCAGAGGCGTAGCTATTGTGGGGCAGCTTGCCCCGGGCGCCACTCGCAGAGGGGCGCCAAACGGTCTCCAAGACAAACAAGATTTGTTTCTGGAGGAGAAGGGGCGCCAATATACAGTCGACCTCCTATAAGATCATAGATACATTTTATTCTTTAGGAATCCGATTTCTTACGAGTCCTTCCAATCACAACCCGACATGTGTGAAGTTTACGGACTATGGCTGATTGAAAGGTTTTCTTCCATAAAATTAATCGATTCTAGACTAATCGGACTCAACATTTCCAAAATATGTATATATTTTTTTTGGAAATAATCCGTATAAACTACGCTATAAACAAAAAATTATAGGATTACTTACCGAGTGTGCACCATTCGACATCGCCATTGCTCAAGCTTGTTTTCGTCGCGGAACAGCTCAGCAAAAGCGGCCGATTTCTAATAACTTATTTTTCTGCGAAAACTTCGTTGAACTTTGGAGACATCATTAATATAAATAATTTTAATCGCCGTTGAATAAGAAATGTTTCTTTCACAAGAAATGTATAAAATTACAGTACTGTATTAGACTTACGGTACCTAATTTACATACTGACAGACGGTANTTGCATTAGAAACTATAAACATTTTATTTGTATTTTTTTCCAGTTTTGATTGTTTCCTTTTTATAGAGCACTAAGAGTACCTTTGTTTTACACACTCATATGGGTCGCTCAGCCTCACAATGGGAACGATCGCGTTGTGGAAGACGGGGATTGACAATCCCAAAAAATTCCTGTAGTGTTTTGGACAGCAGGGATGCGATCCTGAGTCACTCCTCGAGGCAATCTAAAGCCGTAACCACAACTAGGACATTGGAAGTCTTCATTGGGCTGCAATTTGAAAAAATTGTAAATGACTCTGACTGTTCTTCTTTAGCCTCAAGAACGGATTTACATAAATGAAAATCGATACCAGATATGGAAAGTGAACGACGGGAGGCCTTGATTAACTACTATATATTATATATTTAATCAAGGAAAGTTTTTATATAGTTATATACTATAACTGTATAAATATTATTGAATTGAAATCATGTGACTTTCGACCTGGACAGGAAGTCACACGATTTCAGTTAAAAAATTTCCACTGAACATAGTTACATAGATGACCGGCATGAGTTTGTTGTTACCAGGAAAAGTATGATGTGCAAGACACTACAATTTCTTTTTTAACTTTTTCCGCCCTGTGGGCACTAAGAAAGCCTCTTTCTGCAAGTCCATTATGGATTCGGACAGGACCACAATGGGAAGGCCTAGTGGTGAGGGACAGGAGATATCCGAACGGACCCAACTCCAAAAAATTCCTGACTCGACCGGATTAGTTTCCGGGTCTCACAGAGCGGAAGGTTACCTTTGACCGCTCGGCCATTAGGCTTCGATACTAATTTCAGGTCGAGAATAGGCTATATATATTAAATAAATTAAGAATATAATTAAAAATTGCAGCCCGGCATTGTGACGATGTTAGAATAAATTTTGCTCCTTTGTATTTAATTTTGTATGAAGTTGATTTGCAATTTATGAAGTTTTCATTTTTATGTATATTTTAATGTACTTATTTTTATGAAGTTATTTTTCAATTCAGTGTTGTAATGTGGCTTTCTTCCTATCACATCGATTAGGTTCATGGAAGAAGGAAGAACAGAATTGACATCTTTAGATAATGCAAAAGAACTGTATTATTTCAGTAATAGTTATAAAATATATTCTTTGAGAAATTTTTGTAATGAATACATCTTATCGGTCATTAATAACCAAAATATATTCGATATTTACGAGTTTGCATACAACGTTACCGATAACTCTATTAGATACAAATGTTTGAAATGGTTCGACGAGGAATGTATGGAAGTGTTTAAAAAATCAAATTGTAGTAACTGTAATGAACGTACAATAAGCACTCTCGTATCTCGTCCCATATATAAATGGATGAATGAAGCAGACGTGTTCCATACTGTTTATTACTGGGCAGAGACGAAAGTAAATAAATCAACCAATCTGCGAACAATTATGGAACCATATCTACCGAAAATCAGATTTCTAGCAATACGACCGGAATGTTTTCATCGATATGTTTTGCCATTTCTGAAAAATGTATTAACAGACGAAGAAATTCAACTAATAAGAGAATCATTGTCATCCACGTGTACATCAAATCTCCCTGCTTTTATTTGCAGAAGTAGAGAAGAGAGAAAAATTACATATTACGAAAACTTGTTTTACTATATGAATCGAAGTTCTATGAAAACTGATAAAGATATTCTTGTTACTAGTAAAACCCGATTTATATGTGAAATATTTCCAAAGCACAATTGCTTTCTTACCGACATTCTTCTTCCCATAAGGCATTCCAGAGAAGAAAATATTTCTGGTTTCTTAAAACTTATTGTTAAAAATACTCAAAAATCATTTCCTGAAACATTTTTCTGTGATGGCGAGGGACAAGCAAAATGCTCATCACCTATATATTTAACTAAATATACGTCTTATCATTTTAAAGCTCGGATTGATAAGTATATTTTTTCACAAACTGATATACGAGTAAAGAAGGACAGCTATTATTATTCTCCAGAACACTATAAAAGAAAAAATGACAAAAATATAAATAAAAAGAACAATCAAACTTTTTATTTTGAAGCAATTCTTTACTTTTAATACAGGAAATATATAATAAAATATATTATTCGTAAATCGTTATCTTCTTCTTTGATATTTTACTCTTTCTGTCCTGGACCTTTTTAATTAATCATATCTATGAAAGGTGGAAAATCTAGTTCTGTTTCTGGCTGGAACTGTCGGAACTGTTCCTCAGAGCTGCTTATTCTGTTGGACTGGACAGTTACGTTCTCAAACCGTTACGTTCTTTCGACAGTTACGTTCACTTACTTCTAGTATAGGTAATGTCGTATATCCCACCCCAAAATATCGATTTGATTTATATAAATTAACTAGCAGATGATCCCGGCGCTGATCGGGCAAAACAAACAATAAGATTATTAGATTCTTTCGTACTTCTAATTCTATTATATTATGTTATAATATTTGATTTATATATTGATAAGTACGAATGTTATCTTACGTGAGGGTTTAAAACAACAAGTGTCACGCATTTTAAAAATTCTCTAAATTGTAGAAGAATAAATATATAAAATGTGTTAGGAAAGGATTTATCATACCAAGTGAACAATCTAAGAGTATCAAGATGTTTTATGAAAACGGAAGAAATGAATTGAGAAGTTTTCTAAATATTAAAATTATTTATAATTTTAATTTACTCGAGAAATTTTTGATCTGAAAATAATTTATAACCTGAAAAATTAATTTTTTAGATTGTAAATAATAAAAGTTAATAAGGCTATAGAAAATAACTCTTCCAAACATTCACGAGACATTGTTCTAACTACTCAGCGGTCTCACAACTGAACGACACACACGTTAAGGTCGGCCTGTACAGTCCGCCAAAACTGCTAAATTTTCTCCCATACACTAACAGGAATTACTCAAGGTCAGGCTTGCATGGTTAATCCTCATAGGATTAACTTAACGTGTATGGCTGCCTTTTAACATCCATACATATAGCAAAACCCCATAATTTTTTTTCATTTCTTGGCAATTCAAAGTCCACAGAATCAAAAAAAATGTAAAAATTTGGGGGGTCATTTTTTGACCGATCGTCATACTTTCCCTCTGTTATATATAACAGAGCCGGAAAAGTAAAAAATAAATAAATAAATAAATAAATGAAAAAAAAAGGAAANAAATACCTATAATACAATAAATATTAAAACGAAAACCATATAAAGAGTTTGGTTATTTTAGCTTACCATTGTCACGTTTATCACGATACTCGAACGGCACGAAATGGCACACTTTCATTGGTCAAGTAGACACAAAATGAAACTGTATCTTAAATTTTTTCAGATGTTTACTCTACCACTAAGAAACTGTTCCATTCGGAGCCGAATATCAAATGGTCATCTGACAATAAATCAAATTTCGCGAAAAACGGACCAAATATTTTAACTCGGCACCTTCGAAAATCACTTAAACGATATTTTGTGCACTCCGGTAACTTCATATTTTGGATTTTCCTATTTCAATGTCCCATACCACTGGTCCGATAGAAAGGAGGAACTGTTGCAGAAGAAAGTTGAAGTAATTCCAGCCAAAGTCCTTGACCTCCTCCTGGAAGAGAGGATGATCAACAACTAATAATTAATATTGGTCTACCAGTGGCGTGCAGTGACATTTGATGATAGGGAAGCTGTGTTTTCATAAAAGTTATAAACAAATACTGGAAATACTGTAGAATTAAAATAAAGAGTTTATTTATTTTAATTCTACAATAGATACATTGACATGAAAGAAAGATATAAAAAATTGTTTATAAAAGTAATTGCAAAATATGTACAGTAAGAGCCCGCTTAACGCTGCTTTTTTCTTTCTTCCTTGTGTTAGAGGAGTGTATTGCTATTCGCTTTTACTCCTGAAGGGAAGAAGTGACAGCATATGGATCGCAAGGCGACGGAAGAGTCGGCTAGAAGAGACACGAAGGGGGATAGAATGCCTTTCGGGAGGACTTTTACGGGAAGCTGGCTCCCATAAAAGTCATCAACAAAGAGAAAACACGGAAAAACTCCAAGCTGCCAGCCTTGTCCGATCGAGGTGTGAACCCACAACCGAACGCCGGTATTTAGGGTCTGGTCATCGCCACTATGGACTCTATGAGTGGAGACGGAGTCCACTCGGCCACTGGTGGGCTTAGCGCTGCCTCGCTTAACGCTGATTCGATATAACACGGTCTGCTCGAAACCTAAAAAAAGGGGAAAATTTACTCTGATTCAAATTATCGCGGCATTTCATTGATTAGTATATAATACGATTATTTGCGAACACGAACCAATCAGCAAAAGGTGGCAAAAAGGTGTATTTTCTTTAAATCTATGTTTGTTTGGTGCAATTTTCGAAAAAATATAACATCATGGATACCTAGAAAATATCGACTTTGCTTGGAAAGAATTTACTGATAAATGCACGAACGAAGTGTGGAAAAAGTTATGGCTAAAGGTATCCAAGAATTCTCAACGAGAAGCGCCTGTCGCTGTATCGTTAGGTTGATCAAACTCAACCTAATCAATACAGAAGGACTAGATGTAGACGAACAGGACATTGAGGAGTTACCGCAGGTTGCCGGTGAGAGTCTTAACGACGACCTTCAAGAACTGGAAGAACAAGGAATCCATGTAGAACTGGAAAATAGTGATTCTGAAAACGAAGAAATTTCTCTACAGATTCCATTAGTAAAGTTTGGCAAGATGACCGAAATCGTTGATCAAATTGTAACGAATGATTCAGATTTTAAAAGCAGTGCAAAAGCAAAACGAGACGTTTTGGATGCGATCTTCTGCTACCGACATTTGCTTAAGAAAATAAAAGGGTGACAAATGAAACTTTACGACTTTATTGCAAAAGAACCAGAATTTCAGAAAAGACAGGACCTTCGTCACAAAAAGTGAACTATTAATATAGAAAAAATTAACTAATTAATATGCACACAGAAATGTATAATAATATATGTTTATGTGTTATTTAACATATTTTATTATACAAATTAATGTAAAAATAACTTAAAATTAAACTAAAACTTTTTTATTTTTCACTGTGTGTTCCCCTATCCCTATTTAATCTATGTTAAAATGACCTCGTTTAACGCTTTGTCGTCTAGGAATGCATCCCCGCGTTAAGCGGAGTCTTAATGTATTTATATTTTAGAAAATATAAGGGAAGAGGCGCTTCCACAGCTTCCATGGGCTAAACGCCACTATGGTCTACTTTTAATATGTGAAAAGGGATCCGTGTTATACAGGTTGTGATGACTCCGCACGTAATCGAGTTGCTAACCTTAATGTCCGAAATACTTCGTATGACTTGTTTAAATAAATAATATCTTGTAAAACTGTAAGAATAATTGCTTATATGTTATAACTACACGAAAAAAAAACCTTATCTGATTAAGAATTATTAACTGTATTAGACCGTATTAACTTATTAACCATAAAAAACGTTTTCAATCACCAATGTTTTGTATCTATTTTATCATTTTATTTTAAACTAGCTGCAAGGGCCCGCTTCGCTGGGTTTTTATTTGTGGGCAAAAAGTAACGACAGTGAAGATTAAGATAATTACATTATAGCCAATCTTACCCGTTTTCACAGAATGCAAGAATTAGGTCCCCCGTTTCCAGACTAATTAGAGAATTTTTACGTTTAGTCAAACGAACTATTTTTAACGTTTCTGGAACGTTTACAATCGTTCTATAATCGAACCAATATTCGAATTTTATGTTCGAATTTAATTCGAACAAATTCGAACAAAACATTCGAAATAGAAAGCCACTTTCAACCACTTTCAGCCTCATATCTCCCGCACCCTTATAGCTATCGAGACGCAACCACCCCTATGCACGAATGGAGACTTGGGGCTACCACCACATACAAACACCATTCACGTGCGATGTGTAGTTTTTGCGGAAAAGTGAAATATAGGGACATACATGTCCATTTTTATATATATAATATAGATAATATAGATATAGATATAGATATAGATTGTATATTTGTTACTGCAATTTATTCTTTAGATTCAAATATTCCAAACAATTTTGTATTTTAAATGTGTTCTTAACTGTTCTTTACAAAAAATGGACATTTATGAATATTCCACTATTTTTAAAAACCTGGGACATAGTCTGTAAAACAGGTTAAAAAGTTACGGTTAATAAGTGATTCTCAGTCAGATAAGACGTTTTTGCGTAGGTTAAGAAGCAACTACCTGGGTATTAATTAAGTATTTTATGTTATAATAAAATGTTTATATTTTTGCTAGACCTACCTTCATAGAACTGGGCGTACAGGGAGATTCGGAAAATCCGGAATTGCCATAAACATGATAGATGAAAAAAGAACGTTGGAAATGTTAAAAAAAATTGAAAATTGCTTCAGTAAGTGAAATGTGATAATTATACAGTACTCGTTTTCACGTTTTCTTTAACAAGTAAATGTGTGCAGAAAAACAAATATTTTAATTGTTATACTGCACATTCGAGAAAATTTTTTTTATTTTTAGACTTTTGTTAGATTAATTTAAACAAATAATATTTCAAATAAGTGTAATCTAGGAAGTAATTGCAAGTACGATTTTTTTCCCGAAGCTTTAGCAAATTTTTGAATTTTTAATTTAGTGATTAGATGATATTTAAGTTTGAACACGGNACAAATAATATTTCAAATAAGTGTAATCTAGGAAGTAATTGCAAGTACGATTTTTTTCCCGAAGCTTTAGCAAATTTTTGAATTTTTAATTTAGTAATTAGATGATTTTTAAGTTTGAACACGGATGAAAATTTTAAACGTGACGAATTTTCTGTTTCAGAGCGCAAGATCACCCGATTGGATGCGGAAGACGTAGACCAAATCGAAAAACTCGAAGAGAATTGAATGCTCGGATACGAATTGTGCCGTAAAATTTTGCATATTTTGTCCAAGTTTGTAAAGAATTATCATTTAAAATATAGAAATTTCCATGTGTAAAATAGATATGAAGGGTAATCCCGAAGCTTTTTATATTAAGTTCACTTTTGTAAATTCCGCGAGTTAGCATTTTATACACATAAGCACATTTTACGGATTCTTCTGATATTATATTTCCATGTTTGATGTGACGAAAGCATACCGAGTTTTAATTTATCAGTAAACAGATAATCTAAAATAATCAATGTTATCGTTCTAATACCGTTTCTCGTGGAAAGGTCGCCTTACAGATGCTGTATAGTGTTTTTTACTGGCAAAGATTTTTACTTGTAAATAAAATTATTGACTTTAATGATAATTGTGCTTAACTGTTTTTTGAAATTTATTTATTACAAAGCAGAATGGGGCGCAACATCTGAAGATATGCATGTAAATCAGTAAAGTGGGTTTATTAAGCAGTTGGAGATCGTCTTTTTTATTTTAACATTTAAAGATCTGCATCCACATCCATATTGTGGATCTTTAAATTTCTAAATACTCGTTAACCTAGTAACAATTTTTCCATAACACTTAAGCTGTTACGCAATTTACGTGCAATTTTTTAATAAGATCGCTTTTTCTGGTAACTCAGTTTGTTTTTTAATTTACTAATTTCAAAATGAAAATACCTAAACGTAAATCTAAATGCGTTGTGATGTTTTCTGTGACGGGTGAATTTTAAGCAGTGATGTCACATATTCAGTTGCTATAATGAATTTCTCATTATTTGAGTTTCCGGAAGTTTTCAATAAAATTCGATGTAACTGGATCATAAAAGAGTATTAAATAAAAACAAAATAAATAATAATTTTATCGAAAATACGTTCGGGGGAGAAAATACGAAATTTTACTAGAACGCATCAAATCCAAACAAACTGTTTGCAAATGGCTCGTGTATAAATATAACACTGCAACAAACAAAAGTTACATTTTGTTTATAAATGTAAACAAAATGTAACTTTTGTTTGCTGCGGTACATCAAAATTTCTGATCAGAAAAAATACAATTTTGAATAATTAAATAAATTTTCTGCCATTATATGAATGAAAACATTTTCTAATTACGAATGTAATAAATTTCTCATTAATAAACACAATATCAATTGTGAATAACAAATATTATAGCTCCTTTTTAATGAAAAATACAATAATTTACCTAATATAAAAAATAAAAAAAAAACTATGGGCTTAACATGGATAAACTCTAAAGATACTCAAAATCCAAAAACTTTTTTATTGTAACTCTTTAATCTATCCTATCCTAACACTTGGCTTAATATAGATATGTGGCGAAGGCAACCAAAAATGGCACTTTGCTCTTCAAAAAGTACAGATTATTATTGCTAAAAATAGTTCTTGTGGAACTTTGTTTCGAGATTATTTGTACGCGTATCCGTTCCTTTATAATCAAATAAACGTTCTCGTTTTCTCCATCCGAATACAAGAAGAATTTTTTTCTTTTTTTGCCATTTTCTGCGTTATAAATGCATAACGTGATACAGGGAAGTTACTGTGGTTTAATGCATTTCCTGTGGAACACTACGTCGTGTTACCGCGAAAACTTCAAAAACCAAAAAACTAGACTCCTGAAGGGTGGGCCACCTTTAGAAACTTGGTTCGTTGCCCGGCTCTAACGACAGCACCGAACAAAGCCAAACGTTTCCATTGATTCCAATGTAAAAGTGGACTATACGCACACATTAGCAAATGCAGTGACAGCAATTCAGGGGTTTCTCCCATAGCGTGATGTAAAAAATCAATAATAGTCTGTGGGGGCAAGATATTTTTTACGAAATTTGAAGCTTAATATCTGCTGAGAATTTAAAAAATATCTGAACTTCTGCCGTTAGATTTTTTATTTCGGCCATTTGCTTTTGATATGTTTAGGAAAATGAGAACAAGGAGAAATGGCTCCAGCGTATCTTTTGAACCAACCTGAAAACATAAATTATAAATGATGGAAAAAATAAAGAATGTTTGAGAAGTCCGGAAATAATGTTTGCACTTTTCGACTTTTGACGTGCAACTGAAAATTGGTCTTCGGTTCCAATCGACACAGTTTTTTGCAGTGCAAGAATAACAGAAGCACAAAAGTATCGATTGAGCAGTCATCCATAACCTCAGTTCTTCGTTTCGCAAAGTTTTTCTTCGAGAGTTTTCTCTATTCTTCTGCATATAAATACATTTTCCGATTCGTTTCGTCGAGCTGTCTCCAACGGCGTTTCTTCTTTTCCGGATCGAGTGTTTTTTCCAGAGCTACGGGTTCCGGAAATTTGCTACTTCTAACTGCTTTTTCCGACGTTCGGCTGAACGTAAGTTGTAATTTCTGATTTCCTTTGTATTTATTACTCTTGTTTTTTCGCCACCGTGAAGAATAAGGCTTCTACTATTCTATTTTAAATGTCTTTTCTGCATTTATGCAAGAAATCGAACATATTTTTAGACCCTTCTCAACGATATTTAACGTTCCATCGTAAATAAAGTTTACACGAGGAGTTGGCTTTATTCGAACTCTTCGTCTTAATGTTCGATTTTATAAGATTTGGGAAGATCCAGCATATTTTTAGAATTTGAACCCAGAAGGGGCTACGAAAACGTTTGTTATTAATCACTTAGCGGTTAGTGGTTGCTGCCAACCTTAATTATCGTTATCTCAGTGTGGTAAGCAGATAGCTAAAAATTTTATACTTAGTATCGAAACCTAATTGTTGCACTTGGTGAAAACGGGTAAGATCGGCTATAATCTACTAACCTTAATCTTTGCTATCGTTACTTTTTTCCGAGCAACGCCGGGCACATCTGATAGTTACAATAACAGTATTAGCAACACCCCCGAACCTCGAGTATTTATGGGTCGTCGTTGATCAACGCCTGACGTGGCCTGGCTTAACCCGCAACAGGCTTGCTAAATAAAGAGGCCCTCTTACTGCCCAGAGGAGCGAGTGAAAAAATAAATAAATAAAACCCTCGGAGTGGCAAGTGTGCCTTAGCCACTTTAACTGTTTCTCTAAAATTATCCTTTCTTAAAAGAAATGCGCTTACAAAAAAACCAGAAAAAGATTAGATCTGCAGAAACTGTTTTATTTATGCAAACATTATGTTTTTACAAATTACATAAGTTTTATTCTTTATCGAGTCATTTTTAAACAGACTTTTAATAACATTTATATAGGTCCAAACACATATTTTTATGTGTGCAAGAGCTCTCGACTATCGCTTGGATGCCTTAATTAGGCCGTAACAATTACTATTAATGTTTTACAAATATAAATATACAACAATTTATAATTGAGATTAAAATTATTAATTAATATATTAATAATCAATTAATTTATCAAACGTTTTATGTATAAAAAATTTGTTTTGCAATTAATCCTTTTACTAGTGTCTGAATAACAAATATCAATTTGTTGAGCGTGTCGTTCCAATAACAAATTAAAACACAATTCCGGAGAGTCCAAGTTCCAGGAATAACAAAAATTGGGAGTCAAATTTGAGCACAGACACAAGCCGGAAGAGTCCAAATTTCAATATAGAGAGGATTCTGAAGTCAAATTCGAGATAGACGTAATTCGGGTGAGTCCAGATTCGAGTTTAGACACCATTTATGAATCAAATTAGGGGTAGACGTAATTCGGGAGCGTCCATATTCGAGTGCAGACACCATTCATGAGTCAAATCCGGGTTTGACACAATTCGGGAGAGTCCAATTCGAGTACAGGCACAATTGAGGAGTCAAATTCGGGGTAGACGTAATTCGGGAGAGTCCAGATTCGTGAAGTAGACATAAATCGGGAGTCCAAATTCGTGTAGACCAATTCGGGTAAATGATAATTGACTAAAAGACAATAATAAGGAGACACAGCCGGGATAAAGTCAAAATTGGGAAGTCATAATCGAACTTGGCATTGACGCAATCGGGATGTCAAAATCAGGAGAAGTCATCGATGGTTTGCAGAAAAAACCATATCTAAAAGTGAATGAAAAACCAATATTTTAATTTTTACTTATAAATTGAAAATTATTTTTGCAATTTTTAGGAGCTTTTTAGATTTTATTTATTAATTTTTAAACTTTATCATTTCTTTTTGTTATTTTTTGAATATTTTTAAATGAAAACAAAATTAAGAATATTATTTCCTTCTAAAATGGAAATAAAGTTACGTGCCAAATGATATTGCTTACCGCAATTAATTGCATACTGCCACGTGTCATGTATGTATCAAATATGTCATTGTCAATTCCATTATTTTAACATGTTCCCGTCCGCGTAATCACGTAAGATTACTGGATAATTTAATTTCTACGTTCATTTATACCATTGCTTTCGCTGTGTCAAGAGATCAGCAACTTATACCCAGGATGTATTATTGTGAGTAGCCTACTTGGACAGGAATATACAGGCTATGTATGCCCGATACCCTAAAAACGTGGCTTTTTTGTAATCGCATCAAAATATAATACATTTCCACACTAATACCGTACATAAATATTTCCATTTTCTCTGTTGTCCGGCCATTAATTAATTGCGGGTTATTATGAAATTGCGGTTAGATATCGTGTCAATTTATAAACCCAGACTGTAAAATCTCCCAAGTGTTTGGTGTAGAATACAATAAAGTTGCCATACACACTTACAATTAGCCAACTCTGCCCAGATCCAGCAAATCACAGAGCAGATCTTATTGTCGAATTTGACAGTTGGAAGCAAAGAGATCCTTACTCGAACCGAACGTACTCGCATTCTCCACTTCTCGCCATTTTACACACCTTCTGCACGGATCTAAATGTAGAAAAAGAAGTATAATTATTAATCGAAAACGTATAACTCCATTTGAATTCCATTAAAACATATTGCGGCGCTGTATCGATGGGCTGTAAATGTTGGCCTACAAAGAACGAAAGTTAGATTATGAAATTTTCTACTAATTCATTGGTTCGGTGACGTTTTGAATTCAACTTTTCATCCAATCAGTAATGACACGGACGAATAGGCCGATACAGCGCCGAACAATACGGGAAAGTTATGCGATTCGCAAACATTTCCAACTCAAATCTTAATGCTATAAAAATTTTTTGGCGTAATCGATACTTGGGCTTAGCACCACACTCGATTTATTGCCAATTCAGAGGCTAAATCGTACAAAATCTTACCTCTTAACGGGTTTCCACATGCTCTTAAAGAACGACCCGACTTTCTTCAATGTATTTCTACCCCTGGAATGGCCAAGATTATCTTGCACGCAATCTTCGTGCTCTTCCGAGTCTTCGTTCTCTTTGTTGCTTCGTGGAGGAATCTCTCTATTGTTCACTCCATCATCCTCCACATCTTCGACCAATCTCTCACTAAACAAGGAAAGAAATACAATAAATATATAATTTTGGAATCGAATTACGATGAATATTTATAAATGATAACACTTGGAAAACATTTTCTTTAATTTCCCATCAGAACAAGAAACTATTAAACTTATTACTACTTATCGAAAAATTAAAACGATGATTCCTCGTATTTCTCAGAATAACCCCTCGTTAAACATCTCTTACGTATAATATACATGAGTTTATTACATACAAACAGTAATGTAATTTACCTGTTAAAACGTTGGCAGGCCGTCTGACAGATTGGTCGAACCTTCATCACAGCTTTTCTATAAGCAGGCTTGATGCTATTTTCAAAAACGTCCAAACCTTCGAAAGCACCGGTCGAGGGTTCGTACTGCTTCGAGAGGCCTTTCTTCAACTTTCTGCCTCGAAACTTAACATAATCCAAATTTTGTGGACTGGCGAATCTTCGCACATCCACATCCAATCCCTCCCTAAATATGCAAAGAGAAAATTCACAATACAATAACTATTTAATTCTACTCTCAAATTACATTAGATCCCCGTGCTTTTAAGTTTATTCGACAGAAGGAAAGGGCCTTTTATAAATCGACTAGTCTAAATCTTTTTCTGTTATTTAAAAAAAGACATATTGAATATTATAATTGACATATTGAACATATTGAAACGAAGTTGGGTTTAAAATTTTAGTAAATTTCGTCATATTAACGACCTAATCCGCAATATAAAAGAGGCCCGATTACTCATTTAAACAACAGTAAATTGAAAAGCCCTAAATTATCTTCTTAACACCAGGCCCCGAACTGTGCCTTATAAAGCCCTCTATTGCAAAGCAATACAGGAAGACACAAAAATCGTAAAGTCTCAATCTTTACATTTAATCTAATTATTCCTAATTATATATTGTAGATGGAAGTTTTTCTTTAAAGCCTTTAATTGCTAAAACCAATTTCTTATCCGAATAAATAGTAATGAAATGTAAAAATATCTCTTACCCAGGAAGATGGGGCAGGGGTCGATACTCTCTACCATCAAAAAACATCTTCGAATCGCTTTCCAAATCGCACTCTTCGTCCAAGAGCAAAACTACGCAACAACAACAACAACATCAATTGTTGAATTCGTTTGTTACGCGTTAAAAAGAGCTGGAATTTAATGAAGAATTTTGGATTTTTTAAAATTATAATTTCAGAATCTGACGCGTGTATAATAAAGATTAAAAAGCCACGTCACTCCGGTGTGGGGATAGGAGTTAGAATAGAGACGGTTCGAAAAATGCATGTGGTGGTGCTGACGTCATGGCGGTATAAATATCAAAATGCCTTTATTATTCGGCTTTTTTAAAGCCGTCGTAATAGGCGATGTTTCGAAAAAGAGTGTGTTTTCGACATCGTAGTAAATTGCGATTCTTGCACATATTTTCAGTCTCGCGATCCTCATTTGCGGCCTGCGTAAACAGTAGCGTAGAGTAGGGGGGCGGCAAAATTACTTTTTAGGGGCGGCAAAATTTGACAATAAATAATAATAATATCTTGTAAAAATTTGAACCATTTCATTACATATTTTTGTTGCACCTACGATTCGGACCGATTGAAATGAGCACGGAATTTTTCATTACTTATTCTATGACGAAACCGAATTCTAGTCTTCTAAATTGAGATACTCAAATAAGGGGGCGGCGAAATTTTCCTCCGCCTTGGGTGACTGACACCCACGCTACGCTACTGGTCGTTGATGATCCCCGAAACAATGGTATTAACTTGTTAACTGTTCGAATCAATTCTTTGTTCGTCCTCGGACAGAAAACGAACTTCGCCTTGTTATAGATTCACATAAAATAATTCTAATACTATTAAACATTTGCCTTTATTGCCGTTATTTGTTTTTACAACAACAAAAGAGTCGTAAACAATATGTCAGGTCTTATCATACACTAGCAAGCAAATATCTAAAACTCTTATTAACGCAAAACGCTATAATTTAAATACTACAATTATCAATATTACGATTAACTAAAATGCATTTCTGAATTTTAATTCTTTCTTCAGTTTGAATATTGTTACACATAAAACCAATTTACTTTTTAAAAATTCAGCAAGGAGTTGCTTAACTTTCCCGTTAACTACATTTAAAACTGCGTGTGACGCCAACTATTATGTTACTTTTAGTATTTAACAATAAGCCATTAATTTCTTTTTGTACAGATAACTTATCAAACAGCCGAATACAGTACTGTAAATGTGGTCAATGCAGTTCATGGGGTTACAGTATAAGCGAATTTGACATGGTAATAATCAATAAGAATACGATAGCTAAAAAGCTTGACATGGAGCGACTAAAATGGTGATACTGAGGTATATTGTACACCTTCGTGCATGTATTAAAGTTCAATACAGATGGGAAAAGGTCAAGATTCGATAGGGAGTCTGTATATGATCCTTTGGAAGAGATAGTTAAAGTTCTGTGAATTTCGAGAAGTAAAAAATGCATAAAGCGTTTTCACAACAACATCTGTGAAACAACACCCCTTAAACCACTGTGTAGCGTAATATATTGTCAAGATGTTCACAGTGCAATTGTAAAGTTGTCATCAGCCAAGCGTACGGGTTTTTTAAACATTTGATGGTTAATAGTTTTATCGTTTTGTATGTGCCAGTCTTGTAATATGTTTGTTTGCTTGTTAAGTTACGGCAACGCAGCACTTGCCTAGAGAGAGGCCTTCCGGAAGGTCTCTTTAAACGTAACTGGTCCCTATTCAGGCGTTACAGAGATGGAAAAATCCAGGAAAACTCCACGCGGCCAGCCCTACCTGGCGAACCCACGACCGAACTCCCGTGTTCAGTGAAAGGAACTGGTGGGCGCGAGTCTTCTAATAAATTGTTTAGGACAATTTTTTGCCGTATATTTAACAAATGCTCACTTGACTGATGAAGACCATTATTACTGGCGTTGAAATGCATTTTACAAGATATATAAAACATTAATAGTTTCGTTTGTATTGTAATAATATTCTACGTATGTGTAATAAAATATATTTGTTTTAAATATGTTATGATACTTTTTTAATACTTTAAATTATTATAAAATGGGAGAAAGCTTAATTTCGAAGTTAGACATATGTTTGACCAAAAAAAAAACAATAAATGCTAATAACGAGTAAAATCTTTATTAAAGAACTCCAGACATTATTCATTGCAGCCGACCTAGGCTAGTTTGAAAATACCGTCACTGTATTTAGTCACGATGCCACGAACATTGCCAGATATTTTGAACTTACCTTTCTCGTTGGAATCGATTGCAGCTAAAGACGAGTCTTGTCGTTCATCTTAGTCATTTTTAGAAAAGCTAGAATTGGGATTTATAAGATTCCCAAAGAATACTCAAACATTTAACATAATGGATGCTGTGAAAACGCGATCCATTTTTATTAGCTCTTGTGTTCCTTCTAACACGTCAGCAGGAAGTCAAATATTTCACATATCCGCTAGCAGATAGCATGCACTACGCTGTATAACGGAAAACGTGGGTACTGTAACTAAATTTAATTCACTATAGGCCTAATATAAAAATTTATATAAATTTTCTTATAATAAATTTATGAAATCTGCCGCTGACATTATTTAGTTATTATTTAANTTAACTGTTCGAATCAATTCTTTGTTCGTCCTCGGACAGAAAACGAACTTCGCCTTGTTATAGATTCACATAAAATAATTCTAATACTATTAAACATTTGCCTTTATTGCCGTTATTTGTTTTTACAACAACAAAAGAGTCGTAAACAATATGTCAGGTCTTATCATACACTAGCAAGCAAATATCTAAAACTCTTATTAACGCAAAACGCTATAATTTAAATACTACAATTATCAATATTACGATTAACTAAAATGCATTTCTGAATTTTAATTCTTTCTTCAGTTTGAATATTGTTACACATAAAACCAATTTACTTTTTAAAAATTCAGCAAGGAGTTGCTTAACTTTCCCGTTAACTACATTTAAAACTGCGTGTGACGCCAACTATTATGTTACTTTTAGTATTTAACAATAAGCCATTAATTTCTTTTTGTACAGATAACTTATCAAACAGCCGAATACAGTACTGTAAATGTGGTCAATGCAGTTCATGGGGTTACAGTATAAGCGAATTTGACATGGTAATAATCAATAAGAATACGATAGCTAAAAAGCTTGACATGGAGCGACTAAAATGGTGATACTGAGGTATATTGTACACCTTCGTGCATGTATTAAAGTTCAATACAGATGGGAAAAGGTCAAGATTCGATAGGGAGTCTGTATATGATCCTTTGGAAGAGATAGTTAAAGTTCTGTGAATTTCGAGAAGTAAAAAATGCATAAAGCGTTTTCACAACAACATCTGTGAAACAACACCCCTTAAACCACTGTGTAGCGTAATATATTGTCAAGATGTTCACAGTGCAATTGTAAAGTTGTCATCAGCCAAGCGTACGGGTTTTTTAAACATTTGATGGTTAATAGTTTTATCGTTTTGTATGTGCCAGTCTTGTAATATGTTTGTTTGCTTGTTAAGTTACGGCAACGCAGCACTTGCCTAGAGAGAGGCCTTCCGGAAGGTCTCTTTAAACGTAACTGGTCCCTATTCAGGCGTTACAGAGATGGAAAAATCCAGGAAAACTCCACGCGGCCAGCCCTACCTGGCGAACCCACGACCGAACTCCCGTGTTCAGTGAAAGGAACTGGTGGGCGCGAGTCTTCTAATAAATTGTTTAGGACAATTTTTTGCCGTATATTTAACAAATGCTCACTTGACTGATGAAGACCATTATTACTGGCGTTGAAATGCATTTTACAAGATATATAAAACATTAATAGTTTCGTTTGTATTGTAATAATATTCTACGTATGTGTAATAAAATATATTTGTTTTAAATATGTTATGATACTTTTTTAATACTTTAAATTATTATAAAATGGGAGAAAGCTTAATTTCGAAGTTAGACATATGTTTGACCAAAAAAAAAACAATAAATGCTAATAACGAGTAAAATCTTTATTAAAGAACTCCAGACATTATTCATTGCAGCCGACCTAGGCTAGTTTGAAAATACCGTCACTGTATTTAGTCACGATGCCACGAACATTGCCAGATATTTTGAACTTACCTTTCTCGTTGGAATCGATTGCAGCTAAAGACGAGTCTTGTCGTTCATCTTAGTCATTTTTAGAAAAGCTAGAATTGGGATTTATAAGATTCCCAAAGAATACTCAAACATTTAACATAATGGATGCTGTGAAAACGCGATCCATTTTTATTAGCTCTTGTGTTCCTTCTAACACGTCAGCAGGAAGTCAAATATTTCACATATCCGCTAGCAGATAGCATGCACTACGCTGTATAACGGAAAACGTGGGTACTGTAACTAAATTTAATTCACTATAGGCCTAATATAAAAATTTATATAAATTTTCTTATAATAAATTTATGAAATCTGCCGCTGACATTATTTAGTTATTATTTAAACGAACATAGCCAATTTTACTTTTCACTATTTCTGTGCGATTTTAGAGGACCAATGCCATCGGCGCTCAGTAAAATATTGAAGTCCTCCCAAAATTTCACCTAACGTTTGCAGTGAATGAGATACGAAATTTTCGACATATCATTTGAAAAATTAATCGTTAGTTCTAGATTCCATATTAATTAACCACTCAACGCTTGGCAACAACAGTTGCACTCGGAATGTTGGCTTCGATAGCGTGGCGAATGATCCGGTGATGGCATTGTGGATAACACTGGACACTGTCTCATAGCGTAAGCATTTCGTCTCCCCATCACTGAAAACTTGATTTCAACTCGGACGATGTAGCGTCTTCTTGACTGTAGTTATATGGCTTTTTCCTTACTGGACGAATGCCAGCGTAGCCGCTACGAACCAGCTGATATCGCGCTGGTTAGTTCTGCAGGCAGACAAATCGCTGAACTGCAAGCCCTAATCTGCAACAACATTGTGGAAGAAAGGAGTTAGGCGGAAGCGAAGCTCTTGACGAAAATTCGCAAACGTTATATTTGTTCAGTCGATAGCTCAGCTGGTAGAACGGTGGACTGTAGTGGCATCATAGGTCGGTGGTTCAAATCCGCCTCGACGGAGGTGATTGTTTTTTTCAGGTCAAAATATATAAGAACCGATTTTTCAACTTCGCGATTCGACGTGTTTAGAGAACACGCGGTTGGATAAACTCGCCCGTAAGAGTTCATACAATTTTTTATTTCATTTTTCTCAGTGCAGATATCGCGATCGAAGGCACAATTCGCCATTTCGCGCAGAATTTAAAGAAAAATTGTAACTAACAGTTGTACTTTCGTGCGCTGTAATTGCTTTCACGAAAGTATCCGTTCCTCTCGGCCGACATAAATTTGAAGATTTTCAGGTTGAAAGAACTGACAGCGCCCGAGATGCGTCTTCTGGAAATGCCTAAAGAGAATAATAAACATTTGAACCGAAATAGCGTAAAACTGACACACCT